TCATAGGTATGAGCCACTGCACCTGGCCAACACCCTGTACTGTTCCTGATCTTGGGGAAAGTATCCAGTCTCCTACTATTAAGTGTGATGTCAGCCATGGGTATTGTAGAGACCCTGTATCACGTGGCGGAGTTCCCCTTCTATTCCTAGTTTGTTGAATGTTTTTACCATGAAAAGGTGTTGGCATTTGTCAAATGCTCTTTCTGGAACTATTTGAGATAATTGTGTGGGATTTCCCCCCCCTGTTTTTAAATTAACCCTTTTAAATTTTAAAAATATTCCTTTTTTGAGACAGAGTCTCACTTTGTCACCCTTGGTAGAGTGCCATGGCGTCACAGCTCACAGTAACCTCAAACTCTCAGGCTTAAGCGATTCTCTTGCCTCAGCCTCCCAAGTAGCTGGGACTACAGGTGCCCACTGCAACACCCGGCTATTTTTTGGTTGTAGTTGTCATTGTTGTTTTGCAGGCCCAGGCCGGGTTTGAACCTGCCAACCCAAGTGTATGTGGCTGGCTCTGCAACCACTGAGCTACAGGTGCCGAGCCTGGTTTTAAGGATATTAACAGAGTTGTGCCATCATCAACCCTGTCTAACCCCACATTTTCTTGCCCCTAAAAGAAACTCTGTATTCCTTGTCAGCTATGCCCCATTTTCTCTTTCCCCAAACCCTCGCCAACCACAGTTCCACTTTCAGCCTTGGAGGATTTACCTATTCTGGATATTTCTTGCGACTGGAAAGGATGACGGTGACCAGCACACTGCCGTGCTGTTCATATGTCACTGGATGCACTTTAAAAATGATGTAACATCTTTATTTCCAAATGCCGATATCTATAATAGACTAGCGATTACCTCTTTTACAAGGATTTAAGCCCATGATGAAAATTCCAGATGTCACTTTGAACACATGTGAAGAAGCGGCATATAGTTTGTCAAAATTATTTTCAAAGGTACAGCCAGAGAAAAGGTCTGAAGATCACGACTGCAGTCACTTTGGGAGCCGCTGCAGGGTTCTGAGCAGAAGAGCAGTGTTATCTGTTAGTGTTTTACAAACCACTGCTGGGCCCAGGGTGGAAGCCGGAGACCGGTTGGAGGCCGTGGTAGTAACGGATCCTACATGGCGGCAGGGACTGGGGGGTGGAGAGGTGGTGAGAAGGCATGAAAGTTTTTCACACATGTTGAGAACATGCTAAAGGGTGTGCTAACCCATCTGACAGGCCATGTGGAAAGAGAGAATATAACGCCAGCTATGGGGCTTGGGGCCGATCAACCCCCTACTCATCTATAAACTCATTTCCAGAACAGTTTGCTCACAGAGCAGTCAGTATGAGGTTTAGTGCGGATGCAATGCTCTTACACTATAAAAGGCAGAGGGCCAGGCTGCCAGGTAGAAGGTAACAAACTTCAGCTATTTTATTGGCTATCCTTCCTAGAAGCCAATCTTCACCTTGTTGCCCATGTCTTCTTTTTTTTTTTTGCAGTTTTTGGCCATCTGAACCAACCACTTCCGGTATATGGGGCCGGTGCCCTACTCCTTTGAGCCACAGGCGCCTCCCCATTGTCCCCACTGTTTTGTCTTAAGAGTCATTAGCTTTTTGTCCTCCTTTTGTTTTCACACTAAGCTCAATTTTTTTTTTGAGACAGAGTCTCACTCTATCTCCCTGGGTAGAGTGCCGAGGCATCATAGCTCACAGCAACCTTGTCAAACTCTTGGGCTCAAGCAGTCCTCCTGCCTCAGCCTTCCTAGCAGCAGGGACTACAGGTGCCTGCCGGAACACGGGGCTAGTTTTTGTATTTTAGTAGAAACTGGGTCTCATCTTGCCCGGGCTGGTCTCAAACTCCTGCGCTCAAGCGATCCACCCACCTCAGCCTCCCAGAGTGCCGGGATTACAGGCAAGAGCCACTGCACCCAGCTAAACTCTACTTTTATAAATAGCGAGAGTCTTACAGATCTTTGCATCCTCAGCTCACAGCCCAGTGCCTGGAACGTGTATTCCTTAAATACCTGTCACTATCTTCTCCTTGGCGAATCCCATCAACATGATGCTCCCAAATCTGTTCCCTTTGGTCTCCCCCATTATCTCAAGTTCCAAAATTCCATAACCTGACTAGAAGGTTCTATTTTCCTCTCTTCCTTCTCTTGCTACCTCCCAAACCTTCATCATCCATAAGTGAAGATGCCCAGGCAGGCTAATAATGTGCACCCTTTCAAAGGCACGTTCAACATTTTTTTAACACAGTTAAAAAGGAAGGATGGAGAGGCAGGGCCCCAGGAGGTCACCCTTACTCTTCCCTCTGTTGCCCCAAGCTCTTGCTAAAAAACTGACCCCTCCTCCCCCAGGCAAACAAAAGCCCTGCGGTTAACAGACTGTCTTTTGAAGGCAAGTTAGCCAAGCTCTCACCACAAGGCTTTGCAGCGTCCTATTCATCAGCCTGTCTCACTCCTCACCTCCCCAGGATCTAGCCCAGGAGAGCCTGTCACATAACAGATGTTCAATAGCCATTCTCTAAGCACTGCTGGGTGCCAAAGGGAAATGTGATGAATTAGACTTGGAGATGGAGAAATGGAACATTGAGCAAGAAGTCGAAAAGGGTAGTTTAACTCGGGGGCTTCAATTCCAGCCAGGACAATTATCGCAAGATCTGGGCAAACTTATTTTTACTTTTCTCAGTTGCAAAATGGGCCCATGAATACGAACTGTGGTGCCTTTCAAACTTTCAGACCTTTTTTTCCTGGAACCCTCAGGTATGTGTTTTACAGTGTGGTGAGACCCCCGTGCACACACACAACCAAAACAGAAGGTCCCGAAACAATGCTCATACTCACCTCTGATGCTGTCGTCTTTTATTTATCTTAATTCGTTTTTAAAAAATAATAATAATGACTGATTAGATGGATGTTACAGCCCTCCCGTGGGTTTTAACCCACGGTTTTAAAAATATCGCCTTGGAGGGTTAAATGAGAGAAGAATGTAAAGGGTTTTGGAAAACTTTGAAAAGCGCTATTGTAGAGGAAAGTGATGTAAGTGAGGAGGCGTCAATGAATTCTGCTGGCAAGTAGGAAGGACAAAGGTTGAGGATGAATAAAATACACAATCTTTTTCCATTGTCTATAAGATTTGGCATGATCTGTTTTTTGAAATTATCTTTTATTTATAAATATTAGTTGTCTATTTTTTGAGACTTTGGGAAAAAAATAAGAAGTTAATTGATGACTCCGTACTGAACCTCAGAGTCAAAGCATTCCGTAATAGACGTACTCTTACTTAACAACGTGAATGTTACTTTCTTTGCATTACTATTATGGTTGTTGCTTAATGCTTCATTGCAGCAATCGTCTGATTTCTTTTCTGAATGTATTTATCTTCATTTTTTTACGAGGTTTTTGTTTCTAGTCCTCATCTTAAACATTGTTATTGTTTAAATTTTAAGCCTTTTTAATTTGGTGAAGGCAAAAAGTGGAAACCTAATAATCACATGTATATGTAAAAATTAAAAAAAATAAGTATATATGTATATATATATGGATTTGATATCCCAATAAAAGTTACTAAATAAATAAATATAGGCAGCACCTGTAGCTCAAAGGAGTAGGGCGCTGGCCCCATATGCTGGAGGTGGCGGGTTCAAACCTGGCCCCAGCCAAAAACTGCAATAAATTAAAAAAAAAATCATCTAAATAAATAAATTAAATACACAAAATGCCAGTAGTGAAAAATTTTCAGTGCTGCTTAGGACCTTCTTAGCCCTTATCTTGGCCTGACTTGTTTCTTCTCATCTGTCCATCTTTGGGTTCCCTGGTTAAATGCTCCTGCACCAGGGGGCCCTCCCAGAGGCCTTCTGCTAATCTTTCTTTGTCTTGTTGTATCGTAAATTCCCTTCCCTGGGTCGGGAAGAGGGGAGCGGTTAGAGGAGGGAGTTGGCGCTGCAGAGCGGGAACCGGCTGCGGAAGCTGAGATGCAGACAGGCCGTGGCAGTGACCCGAGATCAATTCCCTATTTGTATGTAACCCTTCCAGTGTGAGGATAGGAATCTTGTGTCTATCTTGCAGGTAAAAAGTGTATCCCTGGTAAACACAGTGCCTACCTAGCATGTTATGCAATAGTTCTTTATTTTATTTTATGACAAAGTCTCACTTTGTGGCCCCTGGTAGAGTGCAGTGGCGTCATAGCTCACAGCAACCTCAGACTCCTGGACTTAAGCAATCCTCTTGTCTCAGCCTCCCTGGTAGCTGGGACTACAGGTGCCCACCCCAATGCCTAGATATTTTTAGAGATGGGTCTCACTCTGGCTCAGGCTGGTCTCAAACTCGTGAGCTCAGTGATCTGCCCGCCTTGACCTCCCAGAGGGCTGGGATTACAGGCCTGAGCCACCAAGCCGGCCTGCAACCGTTCTTGAATGAATCAGTGACTACCAGGAAATGAGCAGGAAGGCACCTGTAATCAAATATAAGTGTAATCCATCCCACACTGATTTTTTTCAAGGGATAGGTATTTGGGTTTATACTTTACCTCCTATTTGATTTATGAAAGTTGGATGATGTGAGAAGTAACCAAGAGAGAAACACTCAGGTAAAGGGTTAGGTATCTAGAATATCATAATTAAGGAAATCCATCATTGGGGGGTTTAACTAAAATCCTGTTCGCATTCTATTTCCCTTGGAGATCCTTGAGGGCAAGGCCTGCTCCTTGATTTCTGGTGCCCTGCAGGTACTGGGCGCTCAATCAATATTTGAAAGAACCCTGAACGGAACTTCTAGGAATACCTGGATGTGAACGACTCACACCGGCTGCAGTTCCTCCCCGGGGCAGAAGGCGGCGCCAGCGTTACGCCAACCAGGCCGCCGGCAGTTCTTGGTCCCTCCGGCTGACCGTCCAACGCTAAGCCCCCGCGGCCAATGCAGGAGTTAGCCAATAGGAGAGCGCCTTAGTTAGGGGGTCAGAAAAAAGCGCCCAATGAGCGTGGCGGGTGTAAGCAAGGGGCGGTGCGACGGGGAGGGGAAGAGGGGAGCGGTTAGAGGTGGGAGTTGGCACTGCGGAGCGGGCGGGGGCCGCGGAAGCTGAGATGTGGACGGGCCCGCGGCGGTGACCCGAGCTGCCGCCCGACATGAACTCGCTGGAGCAGGCGGAAGGTAGGGCGGGCCCCGCGGGCCTGTCCCGCGTCTGCGTCTGAAACTGCGGGGCTGAGGAGGGGCCGCAGGCGCGGAGACCCCGCCCCGGGGAGAGGCGGCCGCGGAGAACGGAGCGACGGGCCGGGAGCCTGGGGGGCGCCGGGACCCGGCGCGGGGGAGGCCGTGCCTGGGCCGACTCCGCGGCTCAGACCGTTTCGCTTCTATTTTCTGTTCATTAACAGTGGCAAGTCGTGCACTGTAACGTGGTGATTCATTTTAACAACCCGAGTCGTCTCCCTGCTTCCTACTGTATTCCGGCTACTGTCGGGCTTAGGATGTGCTGCTTGGTCTTTCAGAGTTTAAGACACCACGTTGTGGGAAGGATACCCCACCTCTCATTTAGAAAGAGCACTGGGGACGCCCCTGTCCTTTTGGAACTGGGCGTCAGGGCTTCCACAGAGCCCCGAAAAGGGGAGTGTCTGCCCACACCCACCCGTTATCAGTGTCCAGGAGCCCTGTGAGGCCGGACAGCAGAGGCATTAATTAAATATAAGAGCTGGACACTAGGATCGGGTAACTGCAGGCAAACATAGTTTTTGGAGATTCTGATAGTAGGTAATAACGTCCTGGTTAGTATAGAAAGTTTTGGTTCCAGCAGAATTAAAACTCGACCTGATTTTGATCCTTTTATTTACAACCCACCCCCCAACCCCAATTCTAGCTTTTGGTGCCAGCTGAGGTTGCTTCTGATTTTCCACATATCATTTTGTGAACCTTCTAACAGTGAACCAGTCAGTTTCTTTATGTGCGAAATTGGAATTAAAGAAACCTAATGTTTTTGTCGTGTGCTTAAAGCTGTAAACGAAGTAAACAGCGTAGTGATACATGTAATTTGGTGCATAAGGCTGAAGCAGTTAGAGTATCTAAAATTTTGTCTTAGTAGCCTCCAGTGTGACTGATTCAGAAATCGAAATCTTTTTACCTAGATCTCAAGGCTTTTGAGAGGAGACTTACTGAATATATTCATTGTTTGCAACCTGCCACTGGACGTTGGAGAAGTAAGTTCCTGAACGTTTGTAAGGAAAATAAACTGACAGTTGGTACTGTTTTCCTATGTAGGAATGATTTGGTTCTTCTGTAAAATTTTAGATTAAAAAATAATTGCCTTATTAAACCCCGAAGTTTCTTTAGTTTAGACAGATTTTACATTTATTTAACATTGTAAATATGCATTAGAAATTTTAGAGAAATAAAATCATAACTGGTCTATCTAAAAGAACAATCTGTTTCTTGTGGTTGAATTTTCAGTTTTTCCATTAAAATACATAGACTTTATCTGGGAGGGCCAAGGTGAGGGAATTGCTCGCTGGAGACCAGCCTGAGCAAGAGTGAGACCCCCTCTCTAAAACGAGCCAGAGGTTGTGGTGGGTACTTGTAATCCCAGCTACATGGGAGGCTGAGACAAGAGGATCATTTAAGCCCAAGAGTTGAGGTTGCTGTGAGCTATGTCACCATGGTACTCTACTGAGGATGACAAAGTGAAACTCTATTTCAAAAAGAAAAATGCATAGACTTTAATTTTGATTAAATATTACAACTTTGATGACACACATCATAATTTCAGTAATCTGTTAAGCAGTTTTACAATTTGCCTAGAAACTTTTTTTTTTTTTTGAGACGGAGTCTCATTCTTGTCACCTTGGATAGAAAACCATGGTGTTAGCCTAGCTCACAGCAACCTCAAACTCTTGGGCTCAGATGATGCTCTTGCCTCAGCTTCCCAAGTAGCTGGGACTATAGGCAATTGCCGTGAGACCAGGCCAGTTTTTCTATTTTTAGTAGAGATAGGGTTTTCCTCTTGTTCAGGCCTGTCTCAAACTCCTGAACTCAGGTGATTCACCCGCCTCAGCCTCCTACAATGCTAGGATTACAGGTGTGAGCCACTGTGTCTGGCCTACAAACTATTGAATAAAGTTTTATTAGGAAAATTTGTTTTGCCATGGTACCTGTAGCTCAAGCAGCTAGGGTGCCAGCGACATACACCAGAGCTGGCAGATTTGAATCCAGCCCAGGCCTGCCAAACAACAATGACAGCTACAACTTTTTTTTTTTTTTTTGAGACAGAGCCTCAAGCTGAGCCCCTGGG